CATTGCAGTTGAGATCGAGTCGAAATTTCTGCATTGACATCATTTTGCTGTGTGTTATTTTGGGAATTGCTGCCTACTTATACAAGTAAGTTTCTAGTTTCCGTCTTAATAATGCCACAACTCTTAGTCAACCTCAGCACTCCCTCGGTTTTCTTTTCATTTAAAGATATTTAGTCCCACATAAAATGTTTGCCTGAACGAGTTTAACTGAAACTGAGTTTGTAATGATCACATGTTCAATTCTGCTTAGATTGATTTCGTGATTTTGAAGAAAACTGGGTGTGGGGGAAAACAATGAAGGGAAAATAAAATTACAATTCTTTTTTTTTTTTACCAATTTTAAGAGTTCCAAAAATATACGATTTGTATGGCTTCGTAATTTCCCCCACTCTTGGAATTTGGAATTTTATTAGATACAAGCAGAAACACGGAGAACTGAGAAAACATTTGATTTTGCATGAACATTTTCATGTAAAGCCATCTTTTCCCTCGTGTTTTTCCCCCTTTTCCTCGTTTATTGTAGTTCAAGCGTAGCCTCAAGTAGACTAGCTTTGGTATATCTTACAAACAATATCTCTTTCTTAAATGCCGATAAATAAAAACTTTTTGCAGTGTGTTGAAGAAGTGAAAGTCATATCATGGCCTGGTGCGATTGAACTGCATGCATCATACCTTCGGTATTCTCTTGCTCTGGCTGTGTCGGATTATTTGATTGATTGCGTAATTGTGTTGGTGTTGTGTGCGTGTTTTCTATTCTGTGAGCATTTTACTTGCTGCATTGAAGTACACTACATAATCGAGTATAAAGGGTCTTCTGTAATATAAATTCGACGTCATTTGTTTTCTTTATCTTGTAAACATATAAGCATTCATTCTTTCATTCTTGTTAACTATATTAAATCTTTTACATATAATACAAGTGTTCTTGTGTCAAATATTAGGCTGCACGGAAACTACACCCCTACATTAAAACCAAAAGTACAGGCAGAATTAATGCTTCGAATAAGATAAAAGAAATATAGTTATAGTGGTCTCTCTCCTTTGTCACCATGTTTTGTTTATATCACGTGCCTTCCTTTATCAGCACGTGCATCCTGTTGGGGGAACATCAAACCATTTGATTGGTATATTAAAAATAATAATAGGTATAGTATAAGTATATGTTGATCCACACCCGACTCCGTTGCACCAATTCGGGCGGGTCGGGTTCAGATTGTCGTACCTTAACCTACTTGTGAGTTGTGATACCATTTATTTTTAGGGCAAATTACGGCCACTCTATAAAGTAAGGTCGAATTACGAAAAAATCCTCCTACGAAAAAATCTCCTCTTGTTTGGGTAATTACAACCAACACCTTCAATTATGTGTTGTCTTACACGTCCACTTGATGTCAAATTTACCTACTAAATGACGAATTTTTTCGTAAGAAAATACATAGTTGAAGGGGTAGTTGTAATTACTCAAACTTGAGGATTTTTTCCCGTAATTTAACCGTACCTCGTGGGGCTGGCCATAATTTGTATTTCGTTTTGATAGGCTATGATCTTACAGAACAATTATTAAACAGAGAGAACTTTGTGGGGGTTTTTTTTTTTTTAATTTCTTGGTAGAATATGCAGACCTCATAACCAAGATTGGGATCGATCACCTACCAATAATTTATTTTTTATTATTCTTATAAAAATTAATGTATTTTTTTATTATATACCGACAGCTCCAGGCCAAGATAGTCAAGATAGTCATGACCATGTTACTTGTGTGTGTATATATATATATCACAAAGTATATATGTTTGACGAATTTCAGATTTATTTATTATTGAGAGACAGAGGGATCTACAGATGATTTATATATATATATATATATATATATATATATATATATATATATATATATATATATATATATATATATATTTTGAATAATTCTGACAGGCAACTGTTTGATCATGTGGAGAGAGAAAGATGGTCTCTGTGGCCATGTTTTATGCACCTTTCTTGCTTCATATTAGGGATTGCTAATTCAATATTATTTACCTCAATTTGGACTATAAAACTTCATTAATGTTTAGGGTTGTTGGGTTAATCAAACACTAGCAGATAAAATAGTATATTTCAGATAAAGAGAAATCAGATAGTCAGTGCATGATTTGATGTTTACCCTCTTGTTTCTCAAAATTTGCTTTCCAACGACCATTTTAGGTGGATTTTTTTTTTCTTTTTTTTTTTTTTATATACTAATTTCTGTTTTTTTAGCATCAGGGTTATTTTTTATCGATGAGCTACATCTACTCACCGATGCGGACGTGTCTTTTTGTGTGTATAATTGACTATTGAGTAGGGTTTGTTATATGCTACATTTACTTAACTTTCGTGGTTTAGATGTTACACCAGGTTATCTATAGGTGGATTGAACCATTGACATGGTTAAATAATCACTCAGCAAACACATATACACATGGTGTATATGATGAGTGTGTGTAATTACGTGCGAATTAATAATTAAAAATGATTCGACGTAATTCAACAGATATAGCATATCCAATAGATTATATGATCCTACAACACATTTTACATAAACTCATATGTATGTGCGTGACTGAGTGAAAATCTAGAATGAAAAACTACTCAGTGTATTTCTTAGTACTTAAAATAGTCGCGATATGTTGTCATCAATCTTGACTCTAGAGTCACGTCCCAATGAGAACATTGTATATTTATAAATTAAGAGGCTTGTAGAATCAATAGTTGTTACTTAATTATTTTATTGATTAAGGCTGCAAAATCTCAATTATTAGGTAAAAATTAAAAACCAATTATGCAAAAGAAAAAAACATTGAAATTGAAATTGGGTATGAGCAAGAATTTGAAATATGTGCATGTGTTGGGGTTTAGCATTTTTTAGCATTGGATACTCACTCCTTTTTCCTATAAATAGACAGCCCCATGTGTTGCCACTCCCAACCAAATGGAATTGTTTGCCGTGGGCTAACGTGCAACTTGTATGTATATATATATATATATACACACACATATTTAATTAATATATTCATTATCATATGAGAAAAAAAAAACCAACAATTTGATGAACTCCACGAATGTGTTTTATTTATTAATTAATTATTATTACCAAGAATCAATTAATAATTAATAGGTCCTTGTCTACTTTACTAAGTTTTTAAAGGCAAGTTGTACCACAATTTAATTTCCAAAATAAAAAAATAAATAAATGGTTGCTTCTAATTTCAAATTGTGACCATTAGATTAGATCTTGTATGAATCCGAAATTGCCGGTCCCATAGATTTTAAAGTATGATTTTAGGGAATGACATTTTCTTGGTTATAGGGTTTACCAATTTCTACTCTAAAACGCGTTTTTAGGGCTCCAAATTTTTCTAACTAATAATTCTCATCATCAATAAACAAGTTGTTGTACATGAATTAATATTAATTAAATAAATATATATCTAGAGAGAGAGAGAGAGTAAAGAAAGACTTTTTACATAGGGCAGAGATAGATGTAAAGTGATGGATGGAAGTGATGTCTTATGTGGTCGGACAACAAATCAAATCTTAATCCCATAATTATATTAGTATATATAATAATTCATTTCACCCTCGAAATTAGGGTTTTGCATTTTGTAGGCCCAGTCATGTGTCCCTACGTATGCATGTGCATGGTTCTTTGTTCAATTATATAAAAATTGCATGTTGTGTGTGTAATTTTATATTTACTTATTTTTTGTGTCATGTTTCATGCCTTTTGGTCCTTTCCATTTTGTATATAGGTAATTTTAGTAAATGAATATTCAATACTTTATATAAATATTAAATAAATCTTAATTAAATCTCTTTTCTTAGGGTATTTCGTATTTTTCAATAAGAGTTTGAGTTTTAGGACAAATTTCATATTTCAAATTGTTAGAAAGCTAGAGCTCGAGTTCGAATTAGAGCTGGCTCATTGAGTACTCACGAGCCGGTTCAGCTCATTTCCACCCCTAATTGAGATATTTGTCTACGTATATTACGAAATAAATTATTGTAAATGATTATTCTAAACGAATAGGTAGATTGACAAAACAATTAAACAAAACAAAATAATTTGGATTTATGATATCAAGATTGAGAAATATAGAATTAATGAGATGGAGATTGGTATGGTGGTGGGGTATGTGAGCGGGAATAATTCGTTTTGTAGTAAACATCCAAGTGCATGCAGCCAAAAGCAGTTAAAAATTATTATTTTATTCGTTCTTATATTTTATTATTATTATTATATATATAAGTTAATTTCAATTTTCCAATTATTTTTTTTAGCACCAATTAAAAATAAATAAATTGAGCGGGAGAAAGATGGACCACTTTGAAAGATAGAGAGAGAAGTTACCTGCACACCTCGCCACGATTGGTCCTATTCATTTCCATATTATGTGAACCACAATTTTTAAGACCAACTTCACAAAGACTTGTTTGAAATTGACTCAAACAAAAAAAGTATTTGTCAGATTATTTACTTAATTATAAGGTTATTATTATTTCTAATTAATTAATTAATTAATTATCAGGTAATAAGTAGTTAGCAATGTTTGTAAAATGATGTAACACATGGCATCTATCTTATCAGTTAGGACAGACTTGATTCATACACATATCAAGCTGCCAGATCAGAATACATATATGTACCCACGGTTTTTATTTCAGAATTGCGATTATTTTTTATAGATGATACGGCAAATTATGGTCACTCCCAAATAAGGTTAAATCACGAATTTCGTTTTTCGTGTTTGGGTATTATGAAAACCTCTTCAACTATGTATTTCTTTTACAAAAAAATCCTCATCCAATAGGTAAAATTTGATACCGTAGAGATGAACTTGTAAGATAATACACAGTTGAAGATGCATGGTTGTTATAATTATTCAAACAAGAGGGTTTTTTTTATATTGGTAATTTTCAATTGTTGTATTAATTTCTAAAATTCCACCTTTTAATTTGAGTAAATTTCATCCATAATGTATGATACAATAACTTTAAAGTCCATTGACATTAATAATTACAACCACACCCCTGAAAAAATTATCGGAGCCAAGATTTCATGTCATGGGGACCGATATGCGCTATATTTGTATTCTACAGGGCCGTTAATGGTTCCATAGACAAAAACTTATAAATCTTATATAAAATAATAAGATCGAATTTAAGAAATGTTTGGGAAGTCATACTGTCACCCCCTAGCTCTATGTTGTCTCCACCCATTTCTGAAACTAGTAGTTCGTTATAAACCTAAGAATAACTTATTTAATGCATTACTCAGTTAGCGCTTCTAACATGTTTCAGGGAGGTTATTATAATTTATCGATACCACGTGGACCTTAAAGTTATTTTAGCTCACCTTAGAGATGTATAGGTGTAATTTACCCTTTTAATTTTGTTCCAATTTCTACAATTTTAATCTAAGAAAATAAAAATAAAAATAAAAATGGTCATGTAATTAGTAATACATTTGCATGTATGCATACATAGGTATATATATCTTATGTACATGCATATATATAAATGTAAGAGAAAGCAAAGTGGGGTCCACAAGTCAGTTTCACTGAGACAGAAAGAGAGAGAGACAGGGGTGTGTCACGGGTGGCTGAAAGCTCATTGGGAATTGCAAAACACCTCTTTCTGACACCTCTCTCTCTCTCTCTCTCTCTCTCTCTCTCTCTCTCTCTCTCTCTCTACTATACTATTACTACTCCCTTTCATTAATTAATACTTTTAATAATTAATTTATTCTATATATATATAACAAAATAAAGTATTCAAAGTAAAAGGCAACCAACTTTTTACAAATGATTTAATATATATATAAATGATTTAATTCCTGAACGCACGAGCAATAATATATGTAAAAGGCAACCAACTTTTTACATATTATTACTACTAAATGTTACTGTTCTCCTTTTTCACTTTCTTTTGGGATCTAAAATTGTTAACCCAAAGTAGTGCATTTGAGAATTCCATTATTTTATTATTATTAATAAAATAAATAAATAATTAAATAAATCAGATATATATGTGCACAAAGACCAACCTTTGTCAAAAGTTGAAACTTAAAACCATTCCCCCTTTGACCTTTTCTTTAATTTGCTACCTTCTTCACTCTAGGTCCACCATTCTTGATATTTGTTTTAATTACATATATTATATTTTATTAAATAATCAGCATTTGTGTATTATTGGACTTCTCTTAATTGATCCTTTCTCTTAATTAATTGTTTTATGGAAATTAAATATATTTTTTCATGGAATTAAATGGTAATTAGATCTTCAACTAATTATGACATGTTATATAATTAAATGGTTCAGTAGTACTGTACGTTAATAGTAAGAGTACGTACAATTATCTTGAAGAAATTATAACTATTAAAAACAATAAAATTTTACTAATATATATGCATGCTATGAAATATTATATAATTAATTTCATGTGTTAATTTGAATGAAATATCGTTTCTTGATAATTGGAATTCAGCTCGAAAAACTAGAGAGCGGACACACAGCTCTACACATTCTGGTTACAAGCAGCATACAGCCAATGCATACGTACAAATAACAGTATCTATATATCTATCTATCTATATATATATTTTTTATATATATATATATGTAGAGAGAGAAACAAGAGAGAGAGAGAGAGAGAGAGAGAGAGAGGTGGACCCCAAGCGGCTAAATCTATGGCTGACCGACTTTCAAATTAAGAGATAAAGAGATAGGACGACGACGCTGAAGTGATGAGAAGCTTAATTCCAATCTCTAGAGAGAGAGAGAGAGAGAGAGAAATATTAAGAGAGAGAAAGAGAGAGATGAAACACTGTTCTCTATATTATTAGCTTTAGAATGGTTTTCTTTGTTTTGGTGTTTTTCTGTTGAAATCAATCAAACAAACAAACCCTCCCTCCTCCAGAAATCTCTCTCTGTGACAAGAATCCGAAATTTAGTTCTTATATAATATATATATATATATACAAAATTTTTGGGTTCTTTCTTTGTTGTTTGTTTTGAGTAATATATAGCTCAAAAAAAAAAACAGATTTATTGAATAATACCAAAGCATTTATCTGTTTGTACACTCTCCTCTTGTTTTGTTTCCTAGCTGATCAACCGCTGCTAGCTTTTAATCTTACCAAAAACCCTTTTGGTTTTTCTCTACATTTAAAGACATCCTTAAATTTTAATGATGTCTGCAGGCAATGTTTTTTCTGTTCCCAATTCTGCAGCATCAGCAGCCAAAGTAATCTTCTCCCACGAGTTCGACCCGAACCCGAACCCAAACCCAAACCCTAACTCCAAACCCGTTTCCAGTAACAACGCTTCCGCGGCCAAGAAGAAACGCAATCTACCAGGCACACCAGGTACATACATCATATGTATATATTATAAATTATAATTCATGATGATCGATAATAATTAAGCATCTCTAACGGGTCGGGTCTGGTTAGATCCGGATGCGGAAGTGATAGCGCTATCGCCGAAGACGCTGATGGCGACGAACAGATTCATATGCGAAATCTGCAACAAGGGTTTCCAGAGAGACCAGAATCTGCAGCTACACAGAAGAGGGCACAATCTTCCATGGAAGCTGAAGCAGAGAGCGAAGACGGATCTAATAAAGAAGAAGGTTTACATTTGCCCCGAGAAGAACTGCGTCCACCACGACCCGGCCCGGGCCCTCGGTGACCTAACCGGCATCAAGAAACACTTCAGCAGAAAACACGGCGAGAAGAAATGGAAGTGCGAGAAATGCTCGAAGAAGTACGCTGTTCAATCCGATTGGAAAGCCCACTCCAAGACTTGCGGCACTCGCGAGTACAAATGCGACTGCGGCACTCTTTTTTCCAGGTTTCCATCTTCTTTTTTTTTTTTGGGGAATTAATTAATATTTGTTGCAAGAGAATTTAATGCTGCTTGCTTCATGTATGTGTGTTTATTACAAAATGATTAGGTAATAAGTGTTTTTTTTTTATTTATTTTTAATAAATGCAGGAAAGATAGTTTTATCACGCACCGAGCTTTCTGCGATGCATTAGCGGAAGAAAGTGCAAGGAATATTGTAACGACGGTTGGTTCGAATAATAACAGCTGCTTCAACTTCACAAGTGATGTTAATAATAATTTGATAGGTAACCCTCATGAGTTCAGTAACATTAATCCCACCGGGATGCCGCATTTCTCCGGGGCGTTTCGTCCGGAGTTTGCCGGGAATTCGTTTCTCGGAGGGGACCATCATCAGAATAAGCCGAGATCGTTGTCGCTTTGGATGGACCAACAACAAGCGAATAATAATATTAATTCTCAGATGAACGATCATAGTTCGAACATGTTCGGTTCGAATAATAACGGTTTGCCTGATCATCATATGATGCATATGTCGGCGGCAAACAATGTATACGGGTCGAGTTCGTCGTCGATGGGGAACTACGGGAATTTGTCTCTATCGCCGTTACTCCCGCCGCAGCATGGTTTGAAGGAGGAGCAGTTGTTAATTAATAATCACGGTAACAAAGGGAACAACGCGACATCGTCGTCGATGATGGCGGATTCTCTAGCTTCGCTTTATTCGGAAAGCCACCAGTTGCCGGCGGCGGCGGCCAAATCGTCGCCGCCGGCGCCAATGTCTGCGACCGCTCTCCTGCAGAAAGCGGCGCAGATGGGCTCGACGAAGAGCAACCCGAATTTCTTCGGTAACTCCGTCGGAGTGATGATGAACAATAACTCTTCCTCTCCTTCTTCTTCCTCGACGACGAACAATCTATCTTTCGGCGGCAACGCAGCCTTGGCTCAAAACAGGAGCGAGCTGCACCAGGTGTTCGGCGGCGGAGGACAGCGGCCGGAGAATCCCACCGCCGACGAAATGATGAACTTCAGCACTGCGGCGGTTGGTAATATAGGCGACGGTCGCCATCGTCATCATCAGTCTATGATTAGCCAATCGGCGGCGCTGAACATGCATTCTGCGTTGCATGGGGTGGAGAATAGTTTGACTAGGGATTTTCTGGGGATCGGCGGAGGAGATGGCGGCGCCGGCGCCGGTGGGCCGTTCTCGCCGCAGGAGCTGGCGAAATTCGCTTCCATGAGTTCGGCCATGGGGCTGAGCCACTTCACTAGTAATCACTAGCTACTAATTAGTTGCCACTTGTTAATTTAATTTCTTTTAATTTTCTCAGTTTTTTTTATTTAATTTTTCGGTGCATGTCATATAATAATATAATATTATTATATATGTGCAATGGCCTAACAAGCACAAAACCTTATCATGAGTATTGGTCAGCACCTATATATAATATATATATAGATAGTATTTTTTTTTTTTTTTTTTTTTATAATTTAATAATTTCCACATAAAAAAAAATCAACTGTTTTATCAACGCCCATTCCAAGACTACCAAAAGCAAACAAGAAAATCAGTTCGACCTAACTGAAGCTACAATATTTAATTTATTATTAAGATAAATTCAAATAAAAATTGTAGATATGCAAATTATTCATATATTAATTTTAAAAAGTTCAAAAAAATTCGTATTTTCCCGCTAAATTTAATTCTTATAATACGTTATCATGAAATTGTATGCATTATTGGGTGTGTACGTACGTAAGGTGTTATTATGTTGAAAATAGGAAAAATAAAATTGCTAGAAAAAAAAGAAAATTGTTGTGGGCCCGGATGATATGGAAGTAGGGCCCATGGGTGGTGGAAGTTGGAGGAAGGAATTGTGTTGACGTTGAAAAGTAGGTGATTTGGATTTACAAGTGGCGCGTGAATAGATTTTGTGTGTGTACAATTTCATCGTAACAACTTCAACTATTATTATTATTATTATTATTATTATTATTAATTTTCTTTTCTTGAAATTGATGGGAATATTTATTTATTATATGATATATCTTGACCGTTCGTTAGAGGCTCAGAGTCGGGCGGCGACCCCGTCAACTTTCGCCGGTTTTTTAGTTTTTGTTTATTTTGTCTGATTTGATCTAGAAATTTGTATACATAAACATCAGCAGCAGCCGTTGGATTTGTCTTGCTTCTTGTTTTCAACTTCTTATCTTTCAATTTTCTGTTTAGGAATATTAATTAATTATGGTGGAGAGTGATTTATACATTAGTTAGTCAAAGTAATTGTCTGAGAAAACAATTTGATAGAATAGAAAAAGGGAATAAGTTCATGAGATTCAACGGCTAAGCCAGCATATGATTGGGGTCATGGCCCCCCTAACATGTTCAAATCTCTATTAATTTATAAACAGATACAAAAAAAATGTGTGCAAATTACAATAGTATTAACGGTCCCCTTTCATAATTTTTAATGCATTCGATTCCCGAACTTCAAATTTTGGCTCCATTAATAACGAGATAAATCTATTCTATTATCATTTTAGCATGATATATGGTAATCAATGCTAATATTTCAATAAATATCCTTAATTAATTGTCGATCAAGCTGTTAATTGATTATGTGGGTCCTTTCAAAAAGGGTTTTTTATTGCTTAATTGCAATATTGCAAAATGAAAACACGCTAAATTAATAACTAATAAAAGGTAACCTTAATTATTAATTATTGATTTTCAGCATTCAGTAAACCTATGCTCTCGAATAATAAATATGTTGTCGAGTGACAGGTAAAAGAATTCAAAAGTAAAAGAAAAATAACTTGGTCGAGGTCTAACTATTTACCCATAATTCAAAAGTAAAAGAGAAATAAAAGCTAGTAAACAAGTGTGATTCCAAAATCCAAAACATCAGCAGTCAAACAAATTAAAGATAAGTTCGAAAGTTGACTTTCTAATATTCTAATTTTACTATATGTAAAAGTAGGAAGTGAAAAAGGAGCTTTGGAATTACGGCACAGTATTTGTTAATTGAATTCAACGTAAGTTACGTTATGGGAAACTACGTAATTATAAAAAAGATTCTACTAAACACCATATATATATATATATATATATATATATATATATATCCTTGTCTTATACATATGTTTTGACCTGATAATCACTTTTCCTTAACCACTCGTGTTCATCTCTTAGTGCGCTCGAAAATGCAAATAATTAAATTGTTTAAAAAAAAAAATCTAGCTTTTTATCTTGGAATTAAGCACTGGAAAACTTTCTGTTAGTAGAGGTTGACCACCTTCACTTTTTTTTTTTTTTTTTTTTTGTATAATATATATTCTCCAATTACCTATGTAAAATTAAAATATTTTAAATTTAGCTAAAGTGTGAATTGGATTCGAGCTGACTGGACTTTCATAAAAGTCCTTTCAAGTGTAAATGTGTTGTAATATATTCGTACTTACACCACGAATTATTAACCAGAAGAAAAGTTGTATATGTCAAATTAACATTATTACTTTGCCAAAATAGTTGTTCTTTTTGGTTATTAGTTGCAAACAAATAATAACAAATATAACATTATATAATACAATTGGCAAATTATGGTCCCTGAGATATGGTCAAATTACGAAAAATCTCCTATTGATTGGGTAATTACAACCAACCTCTCCTTTTAAATATCTTTACATAAAATTTATGTAATTCAGTTATTTACCGAACCAAATTGTATATTCAGTTCGGTAAACGGTATGAAATGTTGGCGTAGCAAAATGTCGGTTTGATTTACCGAGTTAAAATCCCTAAATTTACATCTGGAGGGATCTTTTCATAAGATAATACATAGTTGATGGGTGTGGCTGTAATTACCCAAACAAGAGGGGGTTTTCGTAATTTGACCATAACTCAGGGAGTGACCATAATTTGCCCTAAAATATTTTATTTGATTATGCTGACACTCACTCGTTCAAACATTGCATAAATAGGGTAGGGTATCAGAAATCAAATTGCGTTGCCACAGGTTTATTTATTGGGTTTTGGACTCACAAAATACTTTTGGGCTCACGACTTAAATCTAACAAATTATGTTACATAGTTAACTCTTCGTATAGTAATTAAAAGAAAATATGAATTAAATGATTGGTCCAAATATAGTCAATGGTTGGTGGTTGGGCTGTCAAAACCTTAGGACTTAAATATTAAAGAGTAAATGGGTATCTCAACATCGGCCTAGATAAGGCCCATTATAACATTTGATTAATGAGCCCAAAATTGTTTTGAATTTTTGAAAATTTCATAATAATTATTAAAGAATAATAATTCGTAATTTGACTAAATCAAGGTCACATCTAATTGCATTACACATTGGGTGCTTCATCATCTCCATTATCTCCTTAGACTTGTTTATCCATTTTTCATTTCACAAAATTCCCTAAAAGCCAAAAGTTCCAACTTAAATATAAGCACTTTTTTTCACCCTAAAAATCCCAAATTTGTGTAAAATGATTAATCCCCTATTTTTTATTTTGTTAAAGAAAGAACCCACAGTTAACCACCATATGGAGATGTACTGGGTAAATCTAGACTTCGTATAATAACTTGCAAACCATAAGAAGTACGTAAAACTACACCAGACTAATCATGTGTGACAAACTCGATCCAACAACAGTCAATATGAGAATTCAAATTTGGATCATTTGACGCAAGCTCTCTTACTCCCCAACTGCTACACCATTCCTTGCGGGATCCCGTTTTCATACAATAGAAAATTAGTCATATAAGATGTGTAAATCATACTAAAATAAATTATTTGCTACACGTTTGAGATAAAAAAGCATTGACAAAGAAAAAAATACATTGTATAATGTATAATTTAATGTGAAGAGGCAAAAAAAAAAAAAAGAAAAAAAGTCAATACAAATTAAAGTCTCCATCTTTAAACAGCAAAACTCAACACAAACGGTCCTTATTAAAAACTCTTGCACAGTCCAGATGAAATAAATATATATAAAAAAAGAAAAAAAGAAATAAAGGGTAAAAGAAAACCCTTGACATATAAGCGCACGAACTCGGTTCCGAGACCCAGCATTCATTCAAGCACAACTCAGAACTCGGAATATATTTATATACATATATATTTTTATTTATTTGTTCAAAGGGAGAATTTTCGGACTTAATAATCAGTGATTATCGATATTTTTGAGATTTATTGGTGGGAGGAGATGATGAATAGTGGTGCGAGTAATAATATGATGTCATCTGCATCGGCGTCTGGGAACAACGCGCAGCCGCCGGGTTTGAAGACCTATTTCAAAACCATTGAAGGTAAATATAAGCTTCAGTACGAGAAGACTCATCCTGCGGGCCTTCTTCACTATGCCCATGGCAAAACTGTCACACAGGTTGGTCAATTTCTCTCCCCATCTTTTCTTTTAGGGCTTTTTTTTTTCTTCTACAATTTATGGCTTAGGGTTTGATTGCGGAAGTTCTGTTTGACTATTAAATGAGTTTCTGCTGCTTGTTGTGTGAAGAGATTGGGTTTTGGGGATTTCCTTGCTACTAATTTTATGAGAAAAAAAGGTTGGATTTTGGGGATGACTTGCTTGTCGATTTGTGGATTTGATGATTTTAGTTGGATTGTATGTAAATTGTGTGTTTTTGATAAGTCTAGCGGTGTTTGGAGTCGATTAAAACATATATGGAAGACAGTTTCCGGACGCGGTAAGTTTGTTGCCCTCGTCTTGTTTACAAGTTAAAATGGAAATAATCGAAAAAGAAAAGTTAATGCTGTTTCTTAATTGTGATATGGTGGTTCCTTACATAAACAGGATACAGTATTCATTTTTTACCTCTTGTTTTTAAATTCATTTCCATAGTAGTCGCAAATTCATGTGAAATTGATACTTAGTCAAGCAGTGAACACTGTTACGAGACATTCAATTTATGTACAGAATTTGGAGTGATTTCGTTAATTCTTTGATTAGGTGACGGTAGCTCATCTCAAGGATAAGCCGACGCAGACACCATCTCAATCATCGTCAAGTTTGGGTGTAAGCAGTGGTGTGAGGTCAGCGGCATCAAGGTTATGGAGTGTGGGTAATGGAAGGGCACTTAGTTTTGTCGCAGGGAATGGTGGAAGTAAGCCAGTGAGTGGCAGCACTACTAGAATAGGATCTTTAGGGGCTTCGAGTTCGAACAATGTTGTTGGCAATCCTAACTTCGATGGGAAAGGGACTTACTTGGTTTTCAACGTTGGTGATGCAATTTTCGTGAGCGACTTAAATTCTCAGGATAAGGTACTTAGGTGGTTATCTGCACTTTACTTTTGAATTCTCAGATTCCTAATTAAATTGATTTTTGAGATTTGTTGTGCTTGCGTAGGATCCTATAAAGTCTATACATTTTAGTAATTCAAATCCTGTTTGCCACGCATATGATCCTGACGCAAAAGATGGGCATGATTTGCTTATTGGTTTGAACTCGGGAGATGGTATGTCTATCCTCTTAAAATTAGATTTTTTTATTGGAAGATATGTTGTGATTCACTGTTTTTATTTTATAGATTCTGGTTTCTGTGTTGTGTAGTTTATTCAGTGTCTCTGAGACAACAATTACAAGACGTCGGAAAGAAACTTGTGGGGGCTCAGCACTATAATAAAGATGGTTCTGTTAATAATAGGCAAGATATTGACTATTTCTTTTCCCCATATTATTCAGATGCTATAAATGTATATGTCACGTTGGGTGTGGTCATTAAGATATTTCGTTGCAATCTGTGTTTTGAAGGAATGGAATTATTTCTCAAAGTTGAGGTGTGATTCATGCACACATTGACCATAGTAAACAACTCATGTTGAATAGCGTTTATAAAAATTATAAATGTCCGCCGTGAGACTTCCAGTAGATATATTTGTTGATTATTTTTACAAAGTGATGTCTGTACAGTAGTTTTCACTTGTCGAGTCTCAAAGGCTGAGCTCTTCTTTGGAGTTAGTTTATAAATAAATATGTGTATATACATACGCGCACACACTATATACATTAGAATCCTTGTTCGAATTAATGAGGATACGTTATGCAATCTGTGATTTTTCTTTGATCAATTGCTATATTTCCTTTTAACAGTCGCTGCACTTGTGTCGCCTGGATTCCCAATGGTGATGGCTCGTTTGTAGTTGCTCATGCAGATGGAAATATTTATGTATATGAAAAGGCAAGTATTGAAATCGATCTAGAATAAATGACTGCCATTCACTTAATTCCTCGGTATTAGAATCTGGAAATTAATACGCTCTTTTCTGATTCTTTAGAACAAGGATGGTTCTGGTGATCCTTCATTCCCAGTGATCAAGGATCAAGCTCATTTTTCTGTATCACATGCACGCTACAGTAAGGTATTGCCAATTCTGTATATGTTTTGATAACATTGTGCCATAGGTTTTTCATTTCTTAATAACTAGATTCATCTATAAACCATTTCTTAGTATAGGGTGGTTTGTTCGTTTGGTGGAATGGAATGGAACAAGCTGATGTTATTTCTTGTGCCCTCATCAAGTGTCTAGTTTTTGTCAAGTTAGGTTGAATCTTACATAAATGTTGATGGATTTTAGACAACCATGCTGACTTTTAAGGATATGATAACATTTCAATGTTGTAATCACTTATAAAGTCTACATGCTCGAACTCATCAAATCTCTCACCTCCTCTGAGAATATAGTTACTTGGTGGCTATTGTCTCTAGTAACTCTATTACTTTCTTGGACAATTAGTTGACATGTAAATAATTTGTTTTATACATAGAAATGTTAGTTTTCATTTATTGCACATAGACATCGTCTTTCCTGTCACATTTTGAATTTTTCCATGAGCTGGACCTAGAAATCCATGTTTATGCCACGCCACATCTTGATAGAATGGAAATTTGCATTAGGGGATTTTGTATATTGTATGGAGCTAATTTTACTGTACTATCCAATCTCTTTTTGGTCACAATTACTGCAGCTGTTTCACATGTCATCAGGTGGTTTAGTGACACATTTAAGACCTGGCATGAGAATTAGAATTAATTTAAGGGGTGGGAAGAGAATTTCAGAAGTAATATTTTTATTTGCTAATCGCGGGGTACCCTTTTAGTTTTGACTTTATTTTTGTTGTTCTTGTGGAAAACGTCGTATTATGCACATGCATGTGGTTTTAGATGCCTAATGCCGTTTGAGAATTTAGACTCTGTTAAGTAAAGGAACCGCACGTGAATTGTTCACTTTCACTATGGTTTTTGGCTTGCTTGTTAATTTGTTTTGCATTCTCTCATTCTTTTTTTAATTACTGAGTAAGGTTCTTTGTAAAGCAATTTCTACACATGGTTAGTTCGATACTGCTAATTGTTACTTCTCTCCCTTTCTACTCTTGGTAAACATCCATAGTCTAATTGCTGTCTAGATAACATAATATGGTTCTTTTGCAGAATCCAGTCGCTAGATGGCATATATGCCAAGGTTCAATAAATGGCATTGCCTTTTCAGCCGATGGTGCTTATATAGCAACTGTAGGAAGAGATGGTATTGTCATTGCCTGGTGTTCCTTCTACATTTGGGTTTTCTCTTGTTAGTTTTCATTTCCGCCTCTCTTTTTATCCATCATCGATAAATGCAGGTTACCTGCGAGTCTTTGATTACAAAAATGAGCAACTTATATGTGGTGGAAAAAGCTACTATGGCGCTCTTTTATGTTGTGCTTGGAGGTTAGTGTACACAATATCCCTTTCAGAATTGAGCTCTATTTCTTGGGGAATAGTTATGTTCCTTTCAAAAGACGCTGTTTCTGTAATTAAGCTTTGTACTCAATTATTATAATAAATTATTGAGTCACTGATGGCAAGTGAAACAACAGCATGGATGGTAAGTACATTTTGACTGGAGGCGAGGATGACCTTGTTCAAGTTTGGAGTATGGAAGATCGAAAGATTGTAGCATGGGGTGAGGGACATAACTCATGGGTGAGTTTCCGGCATTGTACAAATAAATCACTTAGCTTTCAGATGAAATTACTTTGATGTAATTAACTATGGCTTTTGACCATGTTTACTGGTTATGAAATATTAGAAGTAGCATAAGAATCCCTTTTAAGAAAACTCCTCCACTATTAAACTAAATTATCTAATTATAGGTGGGGAGAAAATAATCTTATGTGCCCTTAACTTTAGATGCTTAATAAATGTGTAACATTTTCTCATATAATCACGTCTATGTGATGCTCATACCAGAACGGCAGCAGAACTAGAATAGCTTATATGAGTATTACATTTAATTTCGTATCTCACCTCATCCTTGATGATGGCAGGTTAGTGGAGTGGCATTTGATTCATATTGGCAGGCTTCAAATTCAGATGGTGTTGGAGAAAGCACTGTATATCGTTTCGGCTCTGTTGGTCAGGTAATCTGAAAAAGTATCATTATTGGCGCCACTAATATAAACTGGAAATATTTTGTTTATATACCTTGCATATTGTGTGTGTGTGTGTGTGTGTGTGTGTGTGTGTTTATTCATAAACCCAGAAAAATCTACACTTGTAGCAAATCTTACAAAGTGGCATACACATCACATTTCTTCAGTCTGATCATTTTCGAGTAAACTTTGACGTAGATGCTTATTTATTATTATAATTCTTTTAATCACTTGTCACTTATGCAGGACACACAATTACTCTTATGGGATCTAGAAATGGACGAGCTTGTAGTGCCAGTTCGTCGAGCCCCAGGTGGGTCCCCCACTTTCAGCACGGGAAGTCAGTCGTCTCACTGGGACAGTGCTTGCCCAGTTGGCACATTACAACCTGCTCCAAGCATGAGGGATGTTCCAAAGCTGTCTCCACTTGTAGCTCACCGTGTTCACACTGAGCCTCTCTCCGGTTTGATATTCACTCAGGAATCCCTTCTTACAGTTTGCAGAGAAGGTCATGTCAAAATTTGGACAAGACCAGTTTCCTCCGAAAGCCAATCGAGTGGCAACTCAGATTCTTTGACTAGCTCGAGTTTGAAGGTGAGTGGTTCAGGTTACAAACAATGACGAGAGAATTTGAGGTTTGTGAATAATAAGGATAAAAGCTTTTGTTATTCTGAGTTGGGCGAAGAATGCGTTTTTTTTTATTTACTGAAATGATGAAGAAGCATATGATGTGTTCATGTGCAGTAAAATTAACTGACAAAAAAGACCATTGTATAGGTAGAGAAAAAGGCTAAAAAGAAAGTGCCTTTTTGGGGTTGATGACGATAAATGAGATTTGAGATAGAATGCGCGACTCGTTGTAAGTATATGAGAGCAACGTTTTTTAGTGATCCCATGAAAAATAATTGATGTTGCGCCTTCGATATTCTTTCTTCTTTTAATTTCCCTTTTCTCTTTTTGGTTTTATTGGTGGTGAATTTTTGCACTTGGCCAGTTTTGCTAGAGAATAGCTAGTTAATGATGGTTCTGAATTTTGATTGGCCACAGTCGAAACATAATTATTATTGTTTTTTCGATGGAATTGATTTTATTTGTACTGTATATGACTGAGACTGTGTATCAGTGCATTGTGCCGTGTCTGCCGATTTTATTATTATTTGCGATGTGTCCTTGATGCGTAATTTGTTCTACTTGCGTTCTCGACGGTGGCTCTAAAAACTCGAAATCTCTCTAAGTAAAGAAAGTCATAGAGGGGTTTTACAAAATTAATTGGTGCTGATTTTTTCCTCAAGTTTTTAAAATATAGATATTTATATTTATGAAGTTTAGAGATTCAACTGACGCTGTTGTAGTAGATCATCAATGTACATATAACTTGTATTTGTGTTTTCTGAATAGAAAAACACAATTTGTGACATAAATATACTTACAAACACACCCTCTTCAAACACAAGGAACACAAGGAAGAAAAAGGAAAAAGGAAAAAAAACACCACCAATCGAGAAAGAATGTCGAAGCCATAATATTTACAGACTTATATAGCTTCTTCACCAGGCCAATTTACGATTTTACATCTCGATTTCTCCACACGATGGTTTGAATTTCCCAACAAAAATAATTTTACCTTAAACATTAGTGTGTGCGGATCCTGGATTCCGTGTTTCACCTTGATGATGTACTTGTGAATCCACTTGCCCCGCATCACTAGTAGCTAATGCCTCGTTTGGTTGTGCAGAATCACGTTGGGAAGTTGACCAAGCATTCAATGTTCTTCTCCACTTTAAAATCTCGTAAATAATCGATGTTCCACACATTGCACCTCCAAAACCAGCAAACGTTGCTAGAAGAACCGACAAAACGGCTTGGACATGTAGCTATAGATTAAAAAAAAAAATCATATAATTTTGCGTTTGAAGAAATACCTCAAAATTGTCTTAAGCTATTTATGGTCATAAGATAAGTGGTTTCCGAGACAAGATTAGCCAAGATAAGAACTCATTTTTCTGTTCGATGGTGGCTTACCAGCGAGTAAAAAATATGTGCAAAGATAACGACTAGTGCAAATTGAATAGTGGCGTAGATCCAAGCGTATTTCCTCCGTACTACACAAAAACGATATTTGAGTAAAAAAATAAATAAGTAAAGGCGAAAATATACGGTTTAGTTTGGACAGCTAAAAAATATCATACCCATGGTAGTTGATGTCATAGATGCAAGGAGACCTAATATGCACGAAAATGGCAAAGATATTGCAATTGCACTAGATCCCATTTTCTTGACCTACATATATATACACAAATAAAGAACTAATATCATCACTTCACTTCATAAATTAAAAAAAAAAAAAAAAAAAAAAAAAGAATGATTGAACTTTTACCAAAAGCTGCTCCAAGAAACAAAAGTATGCAAGCATGCTAACAATCACAAGAATGGGAACGTCTTGCCACACCCTGTAATAGTTAAAAAAATTAACCATAAGTTTATATTTAATTATCGTAGCTCTAAGAAAAAATACATATATGTATATATGAATATATGTTATTTTACTTGCCTGTATCGAGCTATTTCATGTGGACGAGTTCCTTGTCCTTGAGTTTGAATAGTTTGGATTTTTAAAAGTGTGACGGGTAAATTTTTAACCTCTTGTTTGCAGATATCACAATTCTTGTTCCCTTTTATGCTAAACCATTTAATAGCACATTCTTGGTGGGCTAACGCGAGTTCACCTTTACAGCTACACTCCATCTTCAAAGTGTCCGATCCTTCACCAAGTTCCACAAAGCATATTCTACAAACCGCTTCTTCTTCCGGTATATCTTCAGTATAATTATTCTCCTCAACTACCAAAAACAAAAAAAAACCAAAAAAAAAAAAAAAAAAAAAAAAAAGAAGGAAAAAATCATAAAACCATAGTCGAGTGGCAACAACCTTAATCCCTTGATGTAGGAGAATTCTCTACCTGTATCAATTGAAATACTACTGGGAATTGATGTTGCAGCAGCCTGTTCTGTCACTCTCGGTGTAGCAGGAATTACTCGATACACACTGCCTAAATAATCCATCTGTTTCATACTTCCATCTTCATTCAGGATGGGCACTGAACGTGAACGATGTATTGACATACGGGGCCCACCTTTCTGCACAATGTAGTACTCTGTAGTCAGAGGACAAAAATATAAATGAAAGAATCGATACTAAATGAAGGTGCAAGAAAATTAGTTCACTTGATCAATCACAGAGAACCTCAAATTAAAAAGAAAGAACAAGGTGCTCACTGCCACATCAGGTGCATTGCTGACGATTCCTCCATGAGCAGACTCGGGATTCGAGTGCAAAATCGGAGTGGCTGGTAAAGAAGATGTCCTCTTCATCTTTGTTGCGAAAATCTTTGTAAGAGAGAATGTTCTAGAAATTGAGGGCTTCCCCCTAATCTCAGGAGAAACTCCGAGTGCCAGCATGGCAGCTTTTTCTATATCCGAATTTGAATTTCGAAACTTGAAGCTGAGTTTTGGGAGGAAATTTTTCATGGCTGATTTTCCTTTGGAAGTTGAAGGACCTGGAGAACCATCGAGTCTTGCTCGATTAGGGCTTGGTAATGGGGAAAAATTGACTCTTTTGGGAGTTGGAAATGTCGAAGGGGGAGTGTTTACTGCCACGTAATCTTCGATTGATTCTTCGATTGTATTTGTTGATTTGGGTATATTCAGAACAAGTTCTTGCCTCAGCTGTTGCTGACTGCTCGATGATTCCTCGACTACGATTTCACTTAATTCTCCAGCCTAGTAACCATTGAAATAAGTTTATCAATCCAATTATTTTGATGATCAAAACTTGTTAATCAAATAAACGATGAAGCAAAAGAAAGAGAAAAGAAACAGATTCAAATAAGATTGTGAATCGGTACCGCAGAAAAGAGCTAGCAAATAAATAGATTCAAAATCCCACAATTTAGCACCAGCAAGCAAACGAAAATCATCGAAATTCAAAGAATTTACACAAACAAAACTACCTTCCACAAATTTCCATGTAGCAATAGTTATTACTTAACACAATCAAAACCCCTAATGGATGCATCATTCCTGACAAATAAACCAACTATTTCAAGAATCTAATAAAAACTTTACCTTTTTAATTTCATACTAAAAACTCCTAAAAAATCGAACCAAATTCGCAGCTCCAAAGAACCATAAAGCTACTCATATTACACTATTTCCACATCGAAATTCAATAATAGTAAACATAAATAACAAATTCCACGACAGAAAGAAACAAATAATATAAGCAGTCACAAATTATTTACAAAAAGTGATGGACAGATCACAGAGTAAAATGAACAAACACCTTATGTGCAAGAGAAGGAGGAGGAGATAAATTAACAGCGCAGTCGTTTTTGGAGAAGCCCTCTTCACTTTCTTTGGTAAAAGCTTTCCCCTCTGCAGGGTCCATGATTGGGTACAAGAATTTTCTTGTACAGAACTATAATTTTGAATATATACAAGTTCAACCACAACTTGATAAATTCAATAACAGTAGAAATAATGGGAAGATGAAATTCAAGAGAGAGAAAGAAGAGAGAGAGAGAGATATTTAATGAGGTAAACTCTTGAGCCAACTACAACAAGTACAATGGCAGAAGGTAGCAACTGAGAACTATTATCTGAAAAGTGACACTCATTTTGTTGTGCTTTCTGTCTGTGTGTGTGTGTGTGAGTGCGTGCGTGTGTATACTGTTCGTTACATTTTTTTTATTTTTTATTTATTTTTAATAAAAAGCTGATGCGTATTTCTTGATTTTATTCAACTACTAATATAGATTTATTCTTAAAAACAAATTAATTACTATTTTGGACTTTTATATAATAAAAAAAAACATTTTATTTTTATTTTTTTACAATTAAAAAAAAAATCATAGTCTTTGTTGTTTTAGGAATCAAATATTGCATGGTACTATATTTTTAGTTGATTTTAAATTTAGTAATATTCGGAAAGATAGTAGTTACAAATATGTCATTAAAGGGTAATTGAAGGTAATTTTGTTAAAAAAGAAAGTGTAATTAATGAATTTTTTAATATGTATGTCTATATCTTAAATGACAAATAAAAATAGCATTGATGGAGTAGTTAAGACTTAAGACTTCTGTTATATATAGTTTTACTTACCTCTAAAATAGTTAAACAAAATAGCTTAACTTGTTAAGTGTCACATTATTGGGAAAAAACAATATTTTTTAAAATAAAAATAAATATAATTATAGGAAGAATATGGAAAATAGAAAAGGCAAATGAATTATTGTTGTCTAATTTCGGTGCAATTAAAGTTGTGAAAGGATGTGATACCTAACGATTATGCTTTAAATGCATTAATATCCCATCCATTTGTATGGTGCGAGTTTACTGTTTACACCTGATGAAAAATATCGGGTAATTTTATAAACACGCATATTCATAAGTGTGTGTTATTATGTGTAGATTAATTGTGCAGAATCGTCGAGTGTAGCATCTACAAAACAACGTTGTCTACATACATCAAGTGTATATATTAGGTATTTAACCATCAACTAATACACTAGTTTGTCAACCTTCAAAGTAGAATACTATTTTTCTTATTGTAATTGTTCATTATCTCACAAGTATTCGAATTTCGCTTGACCAAATACGTGATTTTTGTGTTTGGTGAGTTTAACTGAATTTATGAATCGAGCTTGAGTAGATGGAGCTTTATACAAGTTTTATATGAAATCAAGCTCAAATTCAAGACGAATTTTGTATCTTATTAAACAAAAATATGTGATCCAATTGAAGCTAGCGGCTTTACATTGGTCCAAAAAAAAAAAGAAATATTATGCCTTGTGTTAATCGAAATTTTGGTACATACCATATACCGATTGATAATTTAGTCTGGTATTTGATTTTTTTTGAAGTATAGTTGTAAATAGTTTTGTATGATCTCTATCTTTCCAGCAGGGCTGAAAGGAACAACTTAAATCTATAAAAGTGACATTACAATGTGAATAGGTTGGATTCCTAATGCATTGTTAAGCCATTATTAGCAAATCAATTTCCCTTTATTATTATTATTATTTTTTTTATTATTTAATTAATTATTATTATTATTTATTTATTTATTTATTTTGAGACAGCCCAGTTCAACTCCATTGCTAAACATATATGTTTTTTTTTTAAATACTGAGAAACTGATCTAGTTTCCTTTTAATCTTGTTAATTAAGTGATTAAAGCCTTAATCTTTATCAATTAAAATTTTAGAGCGATCATCATTGACGTTGTAATTAATAATTAAATAACAAATATTAAAAAGTGGTCCTTTGAAATTCACAAAAGCCAAGTATTAAGTCTACTCCTGAAGGAGTGGAATTCCTATCAAATTTATATTCACATATTTAAATTACTACCACCATGGATCATCATATATATATATATATATATATATATATGTCACTCTCATCAAAGTCAACCATAAAATATGATTTTTTAAAAAAAAATTATATATAATTTGAGAAATAAAGAATTAATTTCAACTTATTAGTGGTAAATAAACTAAATTAATAACAACTTATATTTGAGCTAAAATATTATTTTTTGTTTCTATACATTTGGTACTTGTAGTGTAAGTAATGTGCACACTAGCTGTCTCGATCGTGCAACTGCCAAACGTTACTCTATTTAATCATTTCGAGTGGATAAAATGTTGAAATTGAACCAAATTATTGTTCATTTATAATCACAACTTTGCTTTCAATTTAAGATTAGTGGATTATGGACAAGGATATTGGGAATGTATTTTTGTGTTTGTATATAAATATATGTATGGATATATTTAGGCTAAAAACCCACTACCAACATATAAGTCAAAAGTAGAATATTAAAATCTCGGAGGAGATGGTGTAGCGATTGGAGCAAGTCAACTTGTGTCAGTTGGCTCAAGTTCAAATCTTCTCGGTAACGGTCGTTAAATAGAGTTTGGCATACATTATTAGCTTAGGTAATTTGCTCTCTCATATAATTTACAAATTATTATACAAGAGTGTAGGTTTACGACCCTCGTAGTTGTCTAACCAAAGATATGAATAGTAGCATTAAACAGTTAATATTTTAATTTTTTATTTTAAAGAATAATTCTGGTCATTTAATATTTTTGTTACATTCCCATGTTTAAAATATATATATATATATATATATATATATATATATATATATATATATATATATATATATATATATATATATATATATATATATATATATATATATATATATTTTTTTTTGCAAAGGGAATGTGCGGAAATTATTGATTTTATTCATTCTACGAGTCCCATTTATCGGCCCGTGATTGACATTTACAGGCCCATCATTCCCCGGTGGGCCCATATTAAGAATTTCCAGCTACATGTTTCAGGCCCAAATATTAAATAACAAGTGATCACAGCGATGTAATATTAAATATTAGCGTAATTACGAAAACCTCCCTAAACTTAAACTAAATTATGAAAACATCCTCACTCATCCGTAATCACACATATGCAGGGATAGGATCGGCATTTTCGGAGAATATTCCGTGAACTCAAAAGACTCGGTGAGAGACCACACCGCAAGGCAAGGCGGTTGGTGTAAAAAATAAACAAAACGTTGGGGATATTTTGGTAAATACATATAGGTAGGGTTTTTTTTTTCATAATTTAACCTAAGTTCAAGGGATGTCGTAATTAACCCTAAATATGATGCATGGACGAATTTGGTGCTATCGAATCGACTATAGTAGTTAGTAATTACAACGATTTATTAGTGTGTCAAAATCAACACGCGTATCTCTTGAGTTCATCGTTTTTATAAATTTTAATACCAAAAAAAAGAAAATTTGCTATAATGGAAACATTCAATTTTCAATTTTGAAAATGCTGGTCAAGTCCATTCAATTTCAAATACTCATTCAAGTGCAAGTTGTAGAAGATCATGAATTATTAACCTGGAAATAAATAAATAAAATATAATTTATTTATTTACTTAGAATAAATTAATCTGTATAAAAATACATCATTATTATTTTCAATGTGCATTAGAAATTGTATAGTCAACTGACCGTGTATTTTCAGCAAGAAGAACTTGGGAATAAAATGGTTTCTCCGAGTCAAGTCAAACTCCCAAACAAGAATATGTTTAATTTAATTTATTCCGATTTTCTCTGCTAATTTTGTTTACTCTGATTTTAATCTTAATCCGGAATTTGAATTATTAATCCAATCAAATTCCAGAAAAAATAAAAGGTATTCAATTAGCTGAAGAATGAAATAGTTTTTCAAGCCTAATGTCAAACTACAGTACTGACGGTAGAGAGGATCAAGTGTTTTTCTTCTTTTTATTTATTTATTATTATTATTATTTTATTTAAAACTTGAAACGGTGTCGTCTGCAAGTCAAATTCAATGGGCGTTGGCTCTATAAATATTTAAATATAGTAATAACCCCTCGAAGTTGTATTTATGCCATCTTTTTTCTTTTCCGTTTTCTGCCATTTTTAAGAGCTCTCTCTTTCTAGCTTGTTTCCACTACTTTTCATTTTTAGTTATTCAAGCGAAATTGATTTTTCATCCCATTATGCAATTCCAGATTTTCAGAGCAATTCTGTACAGAAACAAATAATATTTGCAGAAACCATCAACAAAATCAAATTCAGAAATGAAATTCGCTGCCAATTTGTTTAGCTGCTTTTACAACTCCGACGCTCCGTTGACCTTTGACTCACCACCTGATGAAGCAGCAGCACAAGGTACTTTTCCCCAGTTCATTTTTTTTAATTTAAATTAATCTACTTAATTTTGCAAGTATAGAATGAATCGATGATTTTTATTTTTATTTTTTTAATTTTTGGGGAACAGATGATCAAGCAATTCGAAACCCTAATTTCCGCGTTTTCTCCTACGAAGAACTAAAATCTGCCACTCAGGGTTTCAAAAATAAGATTGGAGAGGGGGGTTTTGGTTCTGTTTACAAGGTAATTATTTATCAATTCCTCCCTCTGTGTGTGTGTGCGTGTGTGTGTGTGATATGAAATACTAAAAATTGATATTTTTTTTTTACTTGGGATTTAAATATTGGAAATATATATAGGGAAGGCTAACAGGGGAGATATATATAGCAGTAAAAGTTTTATCAGTAGAACTGGAATCACTGCGTGGGGAAAGAGAATTCATATCTGAGATATCAACATTGTCTGATATCAAGCATGAAAACCTAGTAAACCTCAAAGGATGTTGCATAGATGGTGCTCAAAGACTTCTCGTCTACGATTACATGGAAAACAACAGCCTCACCCACTCCTTCCTCGGTATTTTCTTCTTTCTTTAATATATATTTCGGCAGTTTTTTCGCATGAATTTTAAGTGGGAAAAAATGTAAATTTCGAATCGTGAATTAACAGGGTCGGAGCAGAACAGGTTGAAATTCACGTGGGCACTGAGAAAACACGTCTCGTTGGGAATTGCCAGGGGACTGTGTTACGTACACGAAGAGATCAACCCTCACATTGTGCATAGAGATATCAAGGCTAGCAATATACTTCTTGATCGTAATTTCAGACCGAAAATCGCGGATTTCGGACTCGCTAAACTGTTCAGAGACAGCACTTCCCACATTAGTACTCGTGTAGCTGGGACATTGTAAGCGGGAATTTTGATCTTGATTTTTAGTAGTTTGAATTATTGTTCGAATTCTTGTTTTTCTGATAGTGCTTTTTATTTAATTGTTTTGTTTCCATAAAGAGGCTATATATCTCCTGAATACGCACACAGTGGCCATCTTACACGAAAATCAGACGTGTATAGCTTTGGAGTGCTTCTGTTGGAAATCGTGAGTGGGCGGCCAGTTGTCGATTATCACCTCCAATACGGAGAACAGTTTCTCGTGGAGAAGGTAGCAAAATTCTTTTATCATGTCCGAAAAGTTGTTTAAAAAGAAACATGTACTTACAATTTTCTTACACATTTCGACACTTTTATTGTCTGTAGGCGTGGGAATTGTACAATGCGAATAATCTACTGCAGCTGGTGGATTCTGCATTGAAGGGAGAATTCCCACACGACGAAGCAGTTTGGTTCTTGAAAGTCGGGATGCTCTGTGTGCAAGAGACAACCAAACTTCGGCCTGTTATGTCTGAAGCCGTAAAGATGTTGGAAAACGAGATTTGTACCGAAGACGTTGAGATACGCCAGCCTGGACTTGTTGCTGATTTGATGGAAGTAAAAATTCGTCGGAAAGTTTCTTTGAATTTTACTTCTTCGCCTGCAGCCAGCAGTACCGGAAGTTTCCAGGTACGCTAACGCACGGGCCTCGGGTTTTAATGGAGATTGTGGGGGTAATGTAGATAGTATTAGGTGGGCTTGAGGTACATAAGATTTTTCAATTTCATTCATTGTCAAAAAATGCAAAAGAATATGATTTTTTTAGTTGAAATATCAAGTGTGTATTCATAACATTATCATTAATTATTTTTTTTCCTAGTCAGCAGCTGCTTTGTGAAAAACATTATTTTCTGTCCAACTAATTCATACTTCCATTAGAACAACTAAATAAAAATGCTAAAAAAATATAGGCTAATGCAAAAATAATTTTATTAATTAAAATATAATAAATAAATTTTACAAAAATAACCCACACAAATGTACAATTATAGGAGAGCTTTTCTCAAGTAAATCTATTGATAATCACATTCTTTCATCTTTGAACCAAAAAAAATAAAATTTGCACCCAAAAAAAAAAAAGAAAAAAAAAGAAAAACAGAAAGTCAAACCAAAACTACAAGATCAATCCATCCTTAACTAACTGATCCAACAAAACCGCCAAATCAGACATAGAAACATTTTCATTGTGATCATGTCTGAGAGCAAGCTCAGCTATGTCAGCAAGTTTCAACAGAGGCTCTACATTTTTAGGCAAAGGTACATACCTGTCTATTATAGCGGCAGCTCTCCCTTGTTTAATTAACGGCAACGCCCAATCGACTATATTCGGAGGCACACAATCCCCATCGTACCCCTTTCTCCCGCTCAAAATCTCAAGAATCACAACCCCAAATCCGTACACATCCATTCTCATATCAGCATTCACATCCCTACCAATCGGAGTTAAAAGCCCGAAATCGGCAATGCGGGCCCCACAGTCGGCATCTAGAAGAATCTTCGAGCTCTTCACATCTCTGTGCACGATCGGAGGCACAACTTCTTTGTGAAGGTACTCGAGCCCTTTTGCTGCCTGCATGGCGATTCTCAGCCTGAGGGTCCAGTTTAAGCTCGATAGACCCCCGTGCAGGTGATCGTGTAGGGTACCGTTTGGTATGTACTCGTAGACCAACAGCCTTTCCCCCATCTCCGCACAGTACCCCAACAAATTCACGATATTCCCATGCCGGACATTGCATAGAATCTCGAGCTCGGTTTCGAAATCCCGACTGTTTGTGTGGATTATTGTAGCTGCATTGGCTCTCTTGACTGCCACCTGGCGCCCGTCGGAGAGTACGGCTTTGTATACGAAGCCGTAGGTTCCACGCCCTAGCTCGTTGAACTCTTTGAACCCGTTTGTTGCGTCTTTTAATTCCGAGAGTCGGAAAACTTGGGCTATTCCAGGGCATGGGCCCACCGATAACGGGATATTCTGGTCGGGATTTTCGTCGAATTCCTTGTGGGGTCCGTGAGTGCACGAAAACAGACAAAATCGATTCTTTTTTTTGCCTTCGTCGGCGGTGGAGATCACTACACGAGGCAAAACGCACCAGGCGACGAGAATTAGCAACAAACCGGAAGCGGTGGATCCGATTATGAGTAGCAGCTGGCGTAATTGATCCCAATGCTTTGGTTGAATCTTCGATGGAGATTGAAGCTTGCAGATTTCGCTGCAAGAACTGTTTTGGCAGAGAGAGCAAGAAGTGCAAACCCTATCTGCATTTGCGGTGCATACACTCGACGGAAAAAACCCGTCGGAGCAATTGAGCCCGCATGGGGAGCAAATCCTGAGATCTTTTCTCACGCACAAGGAGTTCAGATCGGGTTCGTTTAAGAGGCTGGCGTTGAAGGCAAACATGTTGGGATCGCAGGTGAGGGCGGTGCATAGGCCGGGGCTGCACAGCTGCAGCGGAGGATCGTAATTTTCCGGCGAGGAGGTGTTGGCGGAGAACCAGCAGTCGAGGACTAAATCGGTTTCTCTGATGCCGCAGGTTAGGGTGTTTGATGAAGCGATGGAGAGAAAACCGGAGTTCTTCGGGATTGAAGATGAGTTGAAGCTTCCCCAGCACTCGATTCCGTGGTTGTCCTCTCTGATTCCGCAGTAATGGTGATCGCCGGCGGCGAGGGAAACGAATCTTGTTCCGAGTGGTGGGTTGGTGTATGAGTTGCTGTTGTTGTTGCCCCAGCATTTGATTTCGCCGGACATTTGTAGTATTCCGCAGAAAGAGTCTACGCCGGAGGAGAGGGTGACGAAATTCGCCGGTATGGTGGTTGAAGCGATGGCGAGATTGTTGGAGTGTGGGCCCCAGCAGGAGATTCCGCCGTCTCTGATGATGCCGCAGGTGAAGCCGTCGCCGGAGACGAGTTTTCTGAAGACGAGTGTGGTGGCGTTCTGGTCGTAGAAGCGGGTGCTCTGTTTCGAGGTTGAGGTGTTGCCGCCGGAGAGAATGACGATGTCCCAACAGTCGACGGTGCCGGAGTCGATTTCGGAGAAGTAAGATCCTCGAATCGCGCAGACATGGTCCTTACCGGCGGCGAGGTGGGAGTAGGCGTTGGGTTTGAATACCGATGGGACGAGATCGGAGGTTTTGGAGAAGCCAGTTGAATCCCAGCATGATGCCTGCGAGGTGTCTGCTAAAATGCCGCAGAGAAACCCGTCACCGCCGGAGAGGGCAGCCATGGGAGGCAAAGCGGCGGAGTAGCGGAAGGAGGTGGAGGCGGAGGAAGAGCTGTTATTGGCGTCCCAACAAATGACGGCCTGCTTGCCACTAGCGTCGATGGCGCAGAAGAGGCTGTAATCTCCGAAGGAGGCGGCGATGGGTCCCATTGAACCGAACCCAGATGCAGAACCGGCGGCGGCGAGAACGAGGAGAAGAAAGAGTGGGATTTTCATGAGTGGCGGTGGTACAGAGGAGGAGGAGGAGTACTGGTGGTACAATGGACATGGAGGAGTGAGAAAATAGGGAAGTAAGAGAGAGAAAGAGTGATGAGGAGGAGAGAACGTGGGTGCTGCTGCGGCTCGCTGTTGCCATTTTTACAGTTTTTAACAACTGTAAAATCTTTTCACAACTTTTTACTGTTTTGTTTTATCTTCTCCAACTGTTTCTCAATCTCGCCATTGTTATTTTTGGATGATGTAATTTCTGAATTTCAGCCAACGAATCCTCGGGAATATTCCTTTTTTACTCCACGAGGTCAATTTTTATTTTGAATTCGGATTTCTCCAATTCTAATTTGTTGTTTTAAATTAAATTTATTTCTTATTTCTTAATCATAGTATACTAATACTTTCCTTGGGTTACAATAAATGAAATTGTAATTTTTTTTCTAATAATGAAAGAAAGCGTTGACAGTCAACGAGATATAGTGTACTGGTAAATTTTGTATTACTAAATTTTGTTTAAATCTGGAATTAAATTTGATATTCCAATAACATTCCTAATTAATTACAACCGTTTTAGGAATAAAATCATTTTTTTTCCTTCTTAGTAACGCAGTCACTAATTTTATTGAATAGTAGTATGTAATGGCAACTACATTTTTTTACTGCACGCTTGAATTAGTTTAAATCTTGAATATAAATCTAATATGGTTTTACATTGATCGAGCTTATATTTCGGCTAAGATCTTCCGATGCTTAAGTGCGTCATATTTTTTTAGGAGAATATGACAAATCTATTTATATATTGTTTAATTTAATTATGAGCCCGCGGTATATATTGGACATTTGCTTGTAATTCAACTCATATCTTTAATTATTGTATAGCTTTATGCTATAAAAGAAGATATAATTACATCTATTTGTAGCTTTTTTGCAATTTTGTTGTTGAATATCATTTCTTTTTTATTCTAATATGTATACAATCTTTGTCAATAACACTAATCTTTTTTTAATTATCTACTCTACATAAACCTTGTGAAGAAAAGTCAGTTAATTCTCAGATTTCAACTGTCAATTAAAGCACGTGCACGGTGCGTGCCTATGAATACTCTAGTGTACATTGTTATAAAAAAAAATAGTAGTATTATAAAGAATATTACTCAATAAATAAATAATGATACACAACATGACAGTAATGAAGATTTAGTATATATATATTGAATTAATTGCGTGACCTACTTGGTTAAGGTACCAACTAGCAAATATACAAATCACATATATTTGGGGGGCTGGCTATATATATATGTAAAGCTGTTGATGTAACTTTGCTTGCTAATTAAATGTGAAACAAATCATATAGTGGGACATATAATATATATCAATTGGATTTTTTTTTTTGGATAAATATATCAATTGGACTTTGTGGGTACGCTTTTATTATTTTTTATTTATTTTTAATCATGATGTAAACTATTGGTTAGGTCTTTTTGTTGCCATGCACATGCTTCTCATTTCACCTTTCTTTGTCACCATAATATATAAAAGGGAAATTCATGAATATTAATATTGTATAGGTTATTTCTATGATACATCAGATGAATGTTATATTGGATAAATTTCCATCGTTAATCTACATACACCAATGTGGGTGTGTGTATGTATTTATGTGTGCTTATGAAGGTAAAAATTTACGCCGTATATTTCACCTGTATAGCATAGCATAAACCTTTTGTATAGCACTTATTTTTGCTCCATGTTAGCCAAATCTATTTTTCACTATAGGTTTGGAAATTAATATATGTTCATTACTTAATGGCTAATGCTAAAATTTGTTAAATATAATTTTATAAAGTTCAACGGTGCATGCAAGAAAATGCAAAATAGGCAACGATTTCTTAATCGACGAAATGAATTCCGTTGCCAATAGTTATATTTTAGCAACGAAATATCGTATTTGTGGCTAAAGAATAACGTTTTTGTAACAAGATATTTTTGTTGCCTTTGAATCTCATAGGCAACGAAACATATTGTCGTGAATAATATCGTATATATTTTACAACGAATTTAATGTAAGACAACAACTTTATTGTTGCAAAAGAGTATTTATTTTTGCTACGATATAAAATTGTAGTAAATACATTTACAATGACAACAAATTTATTTTTGTTGTGAATAAGTGACGAAAGACAACGAAATATTTTGTTGTATATATATATATATATATATATATATATATATATATATATATATATATATATATATATATATAATATGATAAAAAAAAAATCTTATTTGTTTATATTAACTACAATAACTCATAATTTTTTTGTTAAGTCAATTGTTGATATGATTTTAAAAAATTACTATATATAATTAATGGTATATGTTATATTTATAATTAAATTTTATTGTAAATTATGTTTTGAACATAAAATACATATAGTAAATTATTTGTTATGACATATTATTTATTTATGTAGTTATTTTAATCATTTGATCTTGTGTATTTAGTTTTTATAAATTTATTTTCAGTCAGTTTACACAAATGTAGTGTTGCCCCAGCGGTTTGAAGGGTGTCTAACTTCAAATCAACCAGAGTTCGACTCTTACCATTGTCATGTCTCCATATATTTGACATTTATCAAGCGGGTTAGCCTATTGGGCTAATCATGAGTTTAACCCAACAATTCCGACTCTGAAATGGTTCGGCGGTCTAAAGATCGGGTCCGCAAATGCGGGTTGGCGGTCCAAAGGTCGGGTCGACAGATGCGGGTCGCGGTAGTCCAAAGGTCGGTTGGCGGGTGCGGTCGAAAATAAGTCATGTAATGGCAACAATAAATATGTTGCAACGAAATACAATTTTGTTCTTAATGATTAATGTATTGGCAACGATTTATGTGTTGCAACGACATAAATTCGTGGTTATTAATAAATGTATTGGCAACGATAGATTTGTGGCAACAAAATAAATTCGTTGGTAGTAATCAAAGAATTTGCAACGATAAATGTATGGCAACAAAATAGACTTGTTGTTATTACTTAATGCATTGGCAACGATCAATATGTAGCAACGACATAACAATGTTGTCTATAATGCATTATTGGCAACGATTTGTAACATTTCGTTGCCCGGAACTTTTAGTGACAAGGAAACGACAACGAAGGTGGCAACAAAATAATTTTGTTGCAAGAGGAATTAGCAACGAAATTAAAGTCTTTTGGCAACAAAACATATTGTTGCCAATTTGACAATTTCTTGAAAGTACATAACTTATCAATATATATATATATATATATATATATATATATATATATATATATATAGCATGTGGTGTTTCATTGGTCAAAGATTACAAACAAAACAGTCCAAAAGATTAGACAAATAATGAATCCAATGCCTGATTTTGTAATCCATACCATGTGATATGTCTCTCTATATATATATTATGATCATATATATATTGTCCAAATTGTACCTACTTGAAAAGACACACACACACACACACACACACACACACACACATATATATATATAGTTCATTGTATGGGAAAATATTTGGGGTATAATTGGTCTTAATATCATAATTTTTGGGTTGGAAAAATTATATGTGCAGAAATGTATTGCAGTAGTAAAAAATGTATAATCGAATTAATCATTAATAAATGCAGAAATATTCTGTGAATAAATGTATTGCAATTTGGAACGTGTATATATCTTAGGATATGAGCAAGTATTATTATTAATTACTGGCAAGCTACAGTTCATACTTCATGTGGTTTGTCCGGATGGAGAAGACAGTTAGATATTAACATAGATTTTTCTCTATATATATATATATATATATATAAATAGAACCTTCCATGTGTGAAAATATATTGGAATATTGGAATAATCATGTGTGCAGGCATCAACATCAGAAAATTTATGACATATTTACAGAATTATTGCACGTATAAATCACAGCCATATTTATTCATTTATAGCAACATTTCTTAAATCTATCTATCTCCCACTTGTGTGTGTGTGTGTGTGTGTGTGTGTGTGTGTGTGTGTGTGTGTGTGTGTGTGTGTGTGTGTGTGTGTGAGAGAGAGAGAGAGAGAGAGAGAGAGAGAGAGAGAGAGAGAGAGAGAGAGAGAGAAAGAATTTACATGGGTGTTTTTCATTTTATGAGCTGGAAATTTGTTTAAAACGTAAGGCGCACATAGTTACGATCTCCATCCATGTTAAAGTATGCTCTTTTAATGGTTGACTATTTATGTGAGATTGACTTCGAATTCCTTCATTCAACATGCATGACACATACTTTATTCTATTACTATCGAATTGTTATTTAATTAATTAGCAATTCTTAATTAATTAAGTTGAGATCTATCTAATTAACTAATTAACAGGCGCATTAGATCGAACATGTGAGGGTGCATGGTAAATTAAAGTCAATCCTGAGTAATATATGTATAGCATTGTTTCTGAAAACACCAAATTAAATAAAACTAGCTATTTTTATTTCATTCTTTAAAATTTATTATATATGGTTGTTCGAATTTCACGCGACTAAATTTCGGAGGCAGTGATTAACGACGACTTCATCTATATACGAGATTTTAATTTGGTACGTACGACTATGATACGATGTCGAATGATCAATTTATCTAAAAAAATAACTTGTTAGTGAAGCAAAGTATTAATTATTTGATATTTATGTTTCATTAAATAACGTAAAATATAAACTTTAAAGTAAGAACAAGATCAGTACAAGTACTCTGAACTCGACATGAAAATCAGTACGGAAAAAGAAATATTATAAAACAATTGTTAAACAACAGTACTATACATTGTATACAATATAATCATATATATATAGCAGCATGTTTGGTTTGCGTAATGAAAGTAATTATTAAGGATTCATGATTTTCAATAGTGAAATCGAGTATATATTAATGTACGATATAAACGAATTCTGTATTAATATAATGTACGGAATTTACGTAAGAGGGAGATGTCGTTCATTAATGTTTATACTTTATATATATAATAAAAAATACTAGTAATTTGTTTAACGTCAATGATAGCCTGTAATTTGACATAAGCATTTTATATTATTAAAAAAAATAAAAAATAGTATGAGCATAGTATTTGCTGAATTATATTTTATTGATTA